AGTGCACGTGCCCATAAGGGAAAATCTCCCAAAAAAAAAAAAAAAAAAGTCATCATTTATTCTCACAAAGCCTGGCAGGGAGAAACGTGAAGATTTCTATAGAAGGAAGTTCGGGAATTCCTATCAAAAGCCTTAAAAATAGTGTGTTCCTTTTGATCTAGCAGTTCCGCATCTAGAAATTTCTCTAAGGAAATAAGGTTATGTGCTGTGCTTTGGATGCCTGGTTGTTTGTTGTAGCTTTAAAAAGATAATAGCCAATGTTGGAAAAAAGCAGTGTCCCGTGGGTTTGCTTGGGTAAACAGTGCTGTGCATCTGCATGGTGGGATAGCAGACGTGACCATGAACAAGTCACGCCTACGTTCAGCGGGGCGAGCAGTGGCAGTGGTAAAACGTGACATTCTGCAAGGCTGACCCACGTGTCAGGTCTGCATCTAGTGGCCTCTGAGCATGCCCACAGTCTGTGGAGGCTGGAGTGGGTCCCGGTGTCAAGGCCCTGCTCAGGGTGCTGTCTGTCTATAGCTCACTAATTTTTTTTTTTTTAAAGAAAAGAACCTGGGACCAGCAGTTAGCGTAATGGCCATGTCGCTGGAATGTAGTCAACCGCGGTTCGCGTCCCAGACCCGGTGGCTTAAAACTCACGCTGGGCGTGTGTGCGTGTGCGCACCTGGTGTGAGTTTAAGTCACCGGATCCGGGACTCGTTGAACCGTGGTGGACTACATGGGAGTCCAGTGACATAGCCATTACGCCAACTGCTGGTCCCATGATGTTTATTTTTGCAGCAACCACGGTCGGTCCCTGTTCGTGGTTGGGGAGACAGGCGGCTAGCTCTGGCCTGGGCACATCTGCAGCCACCCCGTAGCAAGCCACTAGATCACCAGCCTGGGAGTCTTCCAGTGGAAAGAGAACTTTGTAAGCCAGCAGGTGCCATGGGGATGAAGATGCTGACTCCCACGTGGCCAACCACGATTTGAGTCCTGGACCTGGCTGCTTGAAACTCACACCAGGCGCATGTGCATGCATGCCCAAAACCCCAAGAGGAGAATGGAGGAGAAGGGGCTGCAGCGTGGCCTCCCCTGTCTCTCTCCCAGTTTCTTCCTGGCAAGCGCATGTACCCAATGGCAAATCCCTAGAGAAGATGTCTTCATTCAGCTGCTCCTGGGGACACCTCTGCCACTGGGACAGGCCACCGTTGTTGTAGAGAAGAGACCCACACCCATCCTTCAGAGTCCCTCTGGCTTGGGTCTAAAGGCTTAGTGGATTCGTGGGCCTTTTCTGAAGCTCCCCTAGTGGATGTGGGAAACCTTTTACCCGGAACTGCAGCCTGGAGCCTGCGACTGCTGAGTCCTGGCTAGGAGCAAAGGCAGACGCTGCAGGGCCGGGTTTGTTGCGGGTTTTGGTAGGTTAGAAAATGAGCGTGCACACGTTCCAGGCTTCTGTCTCAACGGCGTGCTCTGATGGAGAAGTGGGTGGAGTGGGGCTAGGAGTGGAGTGGGTGGAGGCCCATCCCCGGGGCAGGAGCCTGCAGCCCGGTCTGTCCTCACCGTGTGAGTGCCCCTGCTTGCCCGAGAGGGGGAAGGGCAGAAGTCGCCCTGAGAATGGCCACGTTCCAGCCCTCCCTTCTCTCGGGATGTTGGGTGTCACACACACACTGGGCGTGATTTCTAAGTCACTGGGTCCAGGGCTTGAACCTGAACCATGTAGTTAGTGGGCCACTGGGATGCAGTTGCCTTAACCACTATGCCTCCAGCTGGTTTGAGTTCTATTCTTTGGTGGGCGTGTGTGCACACCAGAGGAAGGAGGGAAGGGAAGGGAAGGGAGAGGGAGAGACAGAGGAAGCACCTGGGGGTGTGGTCAGCGGCAGCCCCCCTCCCAGCGCCATCCTGTTTGGGGAGTGCCCAGGGTGCCCTTGCTCAGCACCCGCTCTTGCCTTCTGCATGAGGCCCACGGAAGCCCGCCAGGTCCGCACCTGGGGTGGCCGGAGCACCGTCTCTCGGGCCACGGCCACCTGGGTGAGCCTGGCTCCACGGTCAGCCCGAGAACATCCGGAGGGCAGGGCAGGGAGCGGGACGGGCGCTGCCCCACCTTTGTACTTTCACGAGACGAGAAAATAACATCAAAGCACAGGAAGGCGACCTTGAACTTCAAAAGCCGAGCCAGACCTCCACAGGGCCAGCAGAAGCCGCCATCAGGCCTGGGAGGACCATCTCCCTGCTGAGCCTGACCGGGCCTGCGCAGGGCTGCCCTTGGCTGACTGTTTCTGTACTGGTGCCCGGGGGCCCGGAATCAACCCTTCTTCCTCTGGTTTGTCTGTGACTTCGGAGCAGTGAGTCCAGGCTGGGGCCATTCCCAGAGGGTCTCCGTGTCTCAGTCAACACCAGTTTTCAGAAACAGGAAAAGCGCTTTCAGGAGACGAAGCCACCGGGCTGCTCAGAGGACAGTCCCCAGGTGGATGTGAGGAGGAAGAAGGTCAGCCACGTCTTTCTGGGCGATGAAGCCCAGGCCTGCCGTGGGCCCTCCTGCCCTCCTGCCCCGAGTCCCCGTGGAAGTGGACGGCCATGGGGAGTCACCTGCTGCCCTCTGCCCTTCCCAAGACACATACCTCGAGACCCCGCCCTCTAGCCGCTGCATCTCCTGCCCATGCAGGTGGCCTCTGGAGCCCAGGAGGCCTGAGCAGGGCTGGAACCCACGGCCTCAGGTCTCAGTGGCCGACTTTGCGGCCCAGGGCTCGCTGTCGCGCACAGATGCGGTTTCCTTTCCTAGGTGCTCTGGTCGTCACCCTGGGCCTGGCGGAGGCGTGCACCAGCCTCCGAGAGACTCAGGGCCCACGAAGGCCGGGGACGGTGTCGCTGGCTCCCTGCCGCGACTGCGTGGGCCATGTGGCTCCTTGCTGGTGACGCCTGGGGCACTTGAGCCCAGGTCGTAAATTGCCCCGAGACTTCGCGGGCGGCTGCCCCATGGGCCCACCTCACGGGTGAGGACGGCGGTGCGCAAGGACACCTCACGCCCGAGCCGGCCGGACGCTGCCTTTGGTGCACCTCATGATGAGGTTCCTCGCGGCCCACGGCAGGGCTGGCTCGGAAGTGGGGCCAACACGCCCGTGTGGGCTCTGCTCTCCCAGCACCTGGTCTGTCCTTCCGGGTTGTCGTGGACATGAGTCCCCGACGGTCCAGGTGCCTTGTGGTGTCAGCTGTCTCGAGAGCGGAGGCCCGCGTGGCCTGTCAGCAGGCAGGCGGGTGCCCTGGGCAGGAGAGAGGATCGTGTGTCGGCCCCACTGTGACCCTGACGAGGGCCCGGGTCCGTCCTTCCTGCAGCCCCTGCACCCCAGTCCCCACCTGCTTTGCTAATGGGCAGGCGGCTGGAGGTGGGCTCCGGCGGCTCCCTGCCCGTCTCCGTCTGCAGAGGCTCAGACCGCAGCTCGCAGTTCTCTAGTGGGTGGCAAAGTGCTCTCCCTGCATGGAAGTGTCACACGAACGCACCCACATGGAGCGGCGGCCTCCCGCCCCCGCCTGTCTGCAGCAGCTGGAGCCTCCCACCCATCCAGTACCCTGGGGCGGCTGTGACCACCACGCTGCGACCGCCGTCTTGGCCCCATCAGCCTGCACGGAGCCTTCCAGCTGCCCGCGGACAGACTGCTGCAGCACAGCAAGCGGGGCCAGGTGGGAGCTGGGGTGCTCAGAGAGAGCGCTTGGGTGGCGAGGGCCACTTTCCGGGTGCTTCCGCTGGACGCCGAGGAGCCTGCACCGGGCTGTGAACTGCGATAGCCCAGCAGGCTCTGTGATCAGGAGGAGGAAACTTCTGCCACAACAAACCACACAGTGGGTCCTTCCTTTGATCTTAGATGTTACTTGTGGTCCACAATGAGTCTGTTTATTCTTCACATCCTACACGGGGAGCTCGTCCTGTACCTGGGGAGACAGCCGGGCCTGACCTGCTTCTCTGTGCCCTTCCCCACTTACCTGCCAGAAAGGTCGCTTGGGGAAATGACCGGCAGGGTGTTGGCAGGCGCGCCTCCATAACGAGACTGGACTAGGCCCACAGCCACGCAGTGGCTAAGGCGCTGGCCTCCCGTGTGGCGGTTCGTGTCCCAGACACAGTAGTTTGACACACCGGGTGCGTGTGCGTGCATGCCCTAAATCCTGAGAAGAGACTGGAGCAGGAGGGACTGCAGCAGGAGGGACTGCAGCATGGCCATCCTCCTGGGGATGAGTTCTCACTTTCTGGCTCTCTGTCTCTCTCTCTCTGGGGAATACACACACCCTATGGCAAAAATCTCTCCAAAGAAAAAAGTAACAAAAATAAAAATACCCAATGCTTCAGTATTCACTTGATTAGGATCCTTCCCAGCAAGTGATCGGGGAGCAGCCTGAGCTGGCTCGAGCAGAGGCTCTCGGCTCAGTACTTGCCAGGAACCGCAGGCGGCGGCGGGCCAGGCCTGGCTTCCTCTCGCCCTCGGTGGGCTGAGAGCTTCGCCCTAGGCCCTGGGACACGGCCTGGTCACCCTGGGAGACCTGCCTGTACCCTTCGGGCCTACGTGCCAGCAGAAGGGCAGACCACAGGCAGATAAGCTTGGACCGAGTGGAGGGGGTCACGGGAAGGGCAGTCGGGGGAGAGTGGGGTTGACGTTGGGGATGGGTGCTGTTTCAGATTGCGGCGGAAGGTCTCCCCAGCAAGGAGACCGAGGGAGGAGCAAGCCTCTTGGACCCTCGGGGCGGAGGGTCCCAGGTGGAGGTGGGCATGTTTGCGGGGACTGCGACCCCCGGGGCAGGATGAGTAGGCCTCGCGACAAGAGGCTATGGGAGCATGCAGGGCAGCTCACTGCGCAGAGACCAGCCCCGTTCAGGACAGAGAGACACCCAGTGGCTGGGGAGAGGGTACCCGCTGAGGCCAGTGCCTGCCCCCTCGCCACCAGCGTGGCCACGACGGGCGGT